TACGGTATACAATTCAGGTTAAGACTAATTGTCTAATGAATTCCAATGCTAGCCCAAAGCCAAGCAATAGGGACCCAGAATGGAGCGAATAATGCTTTCGGGAAGTCATGTAAGTTGTGAGAATTTTCCAGGCGTAGAGGAAGAGAGCACAGTTACAGGAGCAGGAGAGAAGCAGCAGCCTGTGACAAACTCCAAGGCACCAGGCTGGGGGAGACCTGGGGAAGCTGGCTGGCCTGACTGTATGGTGTTGAATTGAGTCTGCAAACAGAGGGTGGTGACCTACCATGACAGCTTCCTCTGCCGCCAGTGTGTGAGCTGGCTGTTGGCAGTGGGGAACGAGGCTGATGGGAGTGACAAATCCAAGGCCTGGCTTTATTTTTACCACAAGAGTACATTAAAAAAAAAAAAAAAAAAAGCCGGGCGGTGAAGGCGAATGCCTTTAATCCCAGCACTCGGGAGGCAGAGGCAGGAGAATCTCTGTGAGTTTGAGACCAGGCTGGTCTACAAGAGCTAGTTCCAGGACAGCGTCCAAAGCCACGGAGAAACCCTGTCTCGAAAAACAAAAACAAACAAAAAAAACCCCTAAAAGCATTTATAACTGTGCAGTGACATCACACTGTGGAGCTGAAGGCAGAGGCAGGCGGAGCTCTGTGGGTTTGAAGCCAGCCTGGTCTACAGTAAGAGTTTCAGGACAGCCAGGGCTGTTACACAGAGAAACCCTGTCTCAAAAATCAAAAGAAAAGGACACAAAGAAATATTATTACAAAAAGTAGAGTCTTTCCCCCTCACCCCACCCCCTCCTGGTCCTCCCCTCCCAAGTCCCTTTCCTGAGTGTCCTGGTGCCCACCCTTGACCTCCTGATCATCTTTCTACCTTCTCTGGTCTCTTTCGAGGGTTATCCACACTCATATGCAAACACACACGGACACGCACATGTTACACGCTAAGACCTGCATATAGGAACATGTGGGTTTTGTCTTTCTGACATCTTGCTTATTTATTAATTACTCTCCAAATCCATGCATTTTCCTACAAATTTCATAATTTGTTTGTGTATATACACCACATTTTCATTGTCAGCTGAGTAATTAAAAAAATAAATAACAAGCCTCAAAATGCTGCAGTTTTCTTCGTAAACAAGCCAAATATAATGCCTCGCCAGAGGCTTGCCAGAAAAAAAATCTCCCCTGCAGAAACCGCCATAAGCACGTTGCAGGGTTTGGCACCCTGCCTTATACAGTGGCATCCCGTGTGACCGGCAATGGGGAAGTCTCCTTAAAAGAACTCCCCGAGTAGAAGATGCTGAGCATGTTCCCCTTGAGGAAGGAAGGCAGGGATGTCTTTGGCCCTGCTGATTAACCTGTGGCGGGATCAGTGAGGAAAGCCATGTTTATGTCTGGAGAACGTTTCTTTAAACAGTTCGATGGCGCCTCCAAGTGGCAAAGTAGTAGAACACAGCCTTAGAGGCTGCTTTATAAAAATGAAACGTGAGAGCTTGGCATGCTTGTGGAGATCAGAGAACAGCTTGAAAGAGTAGGTTCTCTCCTTCCACCAACGTGAGTCTCGAACTTACGTCTTCAGGTGCGGTAGCAAGCACTTCTGCCTGCTGAGCCATTTTGCCGGCGCAGGCCTATAGATTTCCAAAGAGCAGATTCAAGGACAGTGCCTTTCAGTTTGTGAACTGTGGTTACCCAGTGTTTCCCCTGTAGGAGTTGAAGACCTCTCAGAAACAGCTTTTCTTCTGCGTGTTTGGGCTCACACTGCGGTGAGAAAAGCCCCAGTACTAACTCCTCGCAGAGGATAGCACCATTTGCGCTCTGAATGTATTCGCCCTCCCTCCACTTTTTTCAAAACCTCTCCCACGTTTTAAGCGTCTATACTCTGAGAAACATGATGATTTTAATGCCCCCCCCCCCATGGCTGCTACTAATTCAAACTGTTATCAGTCTAGCTGAGGAAAAAGTACTGCTAGCATTTTGACATGGCCCCGTGGATGACAGAAAAGGGAAATGGTAGCCATGGGCGTCCCCAGGACTCAGGAAGCACCGAATGAGGACCAAGTCGTTCAGTGGGTCATCACCACACCCAGTGGTGGTCAGGGGCTTAGCCGGGTAGAGGTGAGAAGGCGAGAGAAAGCCCAAGCTATAGAAGAGGGGTCTCATCCACAGAAAGGGTCCGGGAATGAGGTCACAAAAGCCACCAGGGCCTAAAGTAGCCGTGGCATTGCGGGCAGCTCTGGGGGAGGTGGGGGAAGGGGGCAGGAAGCGGCGCAATAGCCCGATTTGGCCTAAGGAAACTGCAAGATCGCAGCTCCGGGGGGGGGGGGGTCAGGTGAAAAATTCAGAAAAACCTGCTGTCATCTACAATGAATATGTGTATGGCTCAGTTAATTTCCAAGTCGTCACTCCAGTGCGTATGTATTCCTGGCTTTAAACAAAGCCCCACGCGGAGTGGGAAGCTTGGCTCTCACAGTCACACAGGCTTCCGGCTGAATCCCACGCCGGCCACTTTCCGTGTGTCTTTGGTAAGTCGTCCTTCTTTCTCAGTCCGCTGCCTTGTCAGCGCAGAGCACAATCATCTCTCGAGGCTGCAGCCAGGGTTGCAGGATGCACCTGCACGGCGGTGGGTATGAGCAGGAGACACCGCAGCCTTCTAGAAACTACCACTCACCCGGAACAGCCAGCTCGGCTCCAAGAGTAGGATTCTTCCGTCTAACGACAGTTGCGGTTCCCTGGCGGAGATCTACACACACACACACACACACACACACACACAACACACACACACAACGGCCACCCGACAGTTCCCTGGCGGAGATCTACACACACACACACACTGAGCACTTCGTGGGCGCCCATCACAAGCTCCTTGGTCGCTTTCTGGAGCACCGACCGATTGCCAATATTTATAATCAGTTATAAAACTGCAGTCATGTTTATCCTTGGAATTACCTTTCTCTCAAAGGCACAATCTGCTGTCAAATGCTAACTCAAAATACAAGAGCCTTTGGTTTTGTTTTTCATTTCCTTGCTTGTTGATACTCCGGGCTAGCCCCAAACTCACATTCCTAATACCTCAGCCTCCCAAGTGTTGGGATTCCAGTCGTCATACCGCCGTGCCCAGTTCACAAGAACCTCTGGAAACTTGAGGTGGGAACAGTAGACGAGGGAATTACCATGTATTGAGTCTGCGCATACATTAATACATTTAACCTCCCTTGCTCTCCTCCCTCACAACATCTGACAGGAAGATGGGGACCTGTGCATTGCCTGATTAACATGCTGAGGCTGGATTATCAGGCACTGGGGATGCAACAGCAAGCATCGGGCACAGCCCTGCCCTCCTGGACCCTATAGGGTCTTGCCTGGGATGATCCAGGAGGCAGAAATGAAGTCAATGATAGACTCTTCCACGGGTGAAGAAGGGTGATGTGCCTGCTAAAAGGGGTTGGGAGGGTCGTGTCTTGTTTTGGATTTAGAGATGCCCCCCCCAAACAGACGTTTCACTGAAGATGCTCTCAGAATTCATGTGGGTGGATAGTGGGGGGGGCAGAGACTGCAACATGTCTGAACCTGTCTCTAGCATGCTTCGTGTCTTTAAGTAAATGCTTGTGGTGGCATGATTCAGCTTGTGATCCACCACACTGCTTCCTTCCCAGGAGACTGTGGGTCCTTGAACATCCCCCCCATCTCCTACCATGTGGTCCAATCAGTAAGCAGAGTAAAGGACCACCAGGAGTTCTGCATGCACATTTGCTTACTGGCTGTGATGCAATGTGAAGGTGTGTGGGTTCCATGCCGCGTGTTACTTCTTTAACCCACACAGTCTGCACACTCTGAGCACCAGGCACACCCGCACTAGCTCTGTTGACTCCGATTTTTGCTATTTTCTTGTCTGGGATGATCCCGGTCAGCACTGCAGAGATGCGGCTGCAGAGTCAGCACTGCAGCAAGTGGAACTCAGAACTTACTCGTGTAATTAAAATTGCTTAGCCTTGTCTTCCCCAAAGGCCGACTAGCTCAAGACTGTTTGTCAGCAGGCAACCCACAGTCTTCTTAAAGATGAAAAAAGAACTCCCTTGTGCCAGCATTGTGAGAAAGATTGGGGGTACAAACCAAGGGGAAAGCCTGTGTGGACATGCAATGTCGTTTCTTCTGCCATTTTAGTGATCGTCAGTCTAGTGGGAGCGCCTCTCCAACAAGTCCCCATCTCTTAATCCTTCCCAAACAGTTCCAGCAACTGGAACCCAGTATTCAAGCCTGTGGGAGCCATTATCACTGAAACCACCACACATCCAGAGTCAATACACCCTACAGAGCAGTCAAGGTGTGCATTGGTGAAAGGCATGGCCACCTCCAAAGGTGGGTCTGAGGTCTTTCAGCCAGTGGATGTCCTCATGTCTCAAATGGAGAGATAAACGGTTGTTATCCAAGTGAAGAGGGTAGAGATGGGATGGGACAGAATATTCCAGCCTGTGCAGGGTCTCGGGGAGGAGAGAGGACGGCACATTTGGAGCCACAAGTTCCCATAAGAGCCAGGCATGTGATGTGCTTGCCAGACTCTGGTTTCTCTTCATGTCCTCGTCCTTGCTTTTCTTAACTTGTACATGAATGCATTCTTCATTTTTCCTGTCTTCGGTTGAAACTTAGCCAAATGGAAGATGTTTTCTATTCTAAAAATAGCAACCCAAACCTGTTATCATACCAGTTGGCAAGTTGTTCTTGGCTCTCCCTGGAGAGACAGTGGGGTGTGGGGAGGGCACGGGAGGCACTCTCTGTCCAAAGAGGAGAGCTGTTCTTCATCCCAAGTGCTCGGTGGCTCCAGTTCTGGTCTTCCTCCAGACAAAGGAGAGAGAGAGACAGACAGAGAGAGAGAGAGAGAGACAGAGAGAGCTCAGACTTGTACCCTTTGGTTTGGCACTTCCAGGTAAAAGCCCCAATGCGTGTCCACCACTGCCCTGTTTACTGTCCCCTAACAGCCCTTCTCTCCTTGCTTTCCAGAAAGAGATGACAACCAGCATGTGTCACTAGCACTCCACCTCATCTCCCGGAAGAAAGCAGCACTGTTTCTCCCAGGAGTCCCCATGGGACAGGAAGTTGGCCCTGTCTGGCTGAAATAGTCCCGAGCCCCACAAGGACTTCTGAAAGATGTCTCTACCCACTTCGTGCGCTCTTAACCCTCTCAGTGCTGCTAGCCAGGGCCTGTATGTGAGCCAGGCAGACCACAGCATGAAGGACCAGCCTTGACCCCTGCGGCTGAAGACAGTACGGGAGGGGCCCGACTCTTCCTCCCCTGTCAAGCTTGTGCCTGGATCTGACGCCTAGGCTTTACTGGAATTCAGGTTTTGAGACTGAGAGCTTTTGTCGTTGCTCTTTTCCACTTAGGTCTTACCAGACTTCTTGACTAACTTCTCTGTCATTTGTTTTTCTCAGTACCAGTCAAATTCGGGGAATGCCGTGTAATACCACTTTCCTGTGTCACCTCCTATCCCAGGTCTCCTCGAGTCCCTGCAGTCCCTGTCTCTGGACCTGTGACCTAACCTTGTGTGTGACTTGATGCTGGGAGGGGCCTGCAGTTCTCCTGACAGCATCCATGCCATTTCCTTCATAGGCAGTTTCGCCAGGGTCCATCTGACGGGGTGCATGATGTGTGCCCCAGACAGGCCATTCGCGTGCTAACCATTGGGAAGTCTGGGGACCAGAAATAAACTGGCGCATTCCCAGTTTGCCCTGGTCAGAGTGAATTCTTAGTAGCCACTGTCATTTCTAAACTCTCCCCCTCCAGATATACTTTCCCATTTCCCAGAAGAGAGAAAGTTACGAATGAACAGTGGGACCCTTGATCCAGATCAGTGCAGTGCTCTTTGTTGAGAGCTAGTGAGTCCTGGCTAAGCAGACATAACACCGGGATTTCGGTGACAAGACGAGACATGGGCATTTGGTACATGGAGACCCAATACACTTGACTTACTGTAGCCTTTCCAGGTTGACCCCGGAGCTTCTGCAGTCAGCTGGTATTATCTCTCGTCACATTTTCCCTTCCTCTGTTCCCTGTTTTCCCTCCACGTCCTCCCCACCCTCTCTCCATTATATCTCTTCTCTCTCATCTCTATTCTCTGCTCTGTCCTCTTTCTCCTCCCTCCCCTCCCCTCTCCTCCCCTCCCCTCTTCTCACTCCCCTCCCCTCTTCTCTCTCGTTCCCCTCTCTCTTTCTGTCTCTCTCGCGCCCATTGTCCTCCCATATCCTGGGTTATATGATGACACAAATTAACTTCTGTCCAGTGGATGTGCTGCTGTCACTAAGGTCTTCCTTCTGTCCGTTCAGTTTGTTCCTTCCAGCAGTCAGAATAACCATTCCGTGCCATCTCCTGCCTTTGGAAGCTTTAGTTGCTTTCTCTGATTCATTCACGAAACTGTGGTTCTGACAGCTTGACTAAGAAGTACTCACACTTCCCATGATATTTTAATAAAGCATCTGTTGGTGGAGGGACGTAGATATGAATGTATTCTTGCAGTTAGTAACAAAAGATGACTAAGCTAATATGATGCTATTTGGTATATATAATATGTTAAAGCCATTTGTGACTGCCACAGAAGCCTGGAAAGCATGGCATCTTTGCCTAATGATGAAAAGGCTGGCTGTATGGGCTCAGTGGCGTTCTACACGAGGGAACCACGCAGAACAGCCCTTCCTTCCTGTCTCGTGGATGATGTCTTATGAAACCCAACACTACTACTCCTCTCTACATAATTGACTTACTCTGATCTACAGGGACTTCTTCTTTTCTCCTTAAGCAACTTTTAGAGGCCAAGATAGGCAATTTGGCCTAGAAGCATATTTGGCTAAGGGTTCAGAGAAACAAAGCCCTGAATTGCTGGCCTATGCGATGCACAGTAACACACTTCACGGGTGTGAGGGATGGTGGCAGTGAGAAATGGCAGGCCGTGGCCTTGGGGAGTCTCTGCTGCTTTGTACCTTGAACAACTGCAGGACTCATGCGGTAACGGGTACTGTGTGTGGCTGCATTCCAATAATCTTAGCCAAAGGGGAAGGCTGACTCTAGACATTTGGCATGTATTTCTAGCTATTTTCTATCAATTGTTTGTATGTGTGAAATTTCCATCCTGCTTAAAAATCTAAATATTTTTTTAACTTCCTAGAATGATTTTCCCTGGCCTGTATTGTCAATTGCACTAAGTAGCTCTCAGAGGGAAATCGAGCCAATTGCTCTTCTTTTTTAAAGTATGAGGTGTTCATATATCTACAGAACTTTGGCAAATTCTAAAGGCAGATCCTCATGGGCTGTTCCTTTGGCCTGGCCTTATCTTCTATAATCTGTACTGTGAATGGAAGATCCTACAGCCCAGGGACAGGGACAGGGACAGGCCTCTTGCTGTCTCCTAGCCTCATTCTCCCTCCTTTGCAACATGTATTCTAACTCTGGGAAAATTCCCAGTTGAAAGATTACATGCACCCTACGTCCTTTAAGTGTAGCAAGTGTTGGCATATCACCTCATTTCTTTCTCACGGTAGATGCACTCATTGCTGAATCATCAAAAAAAAAAAACACCAAATTTCAGTCATCATAAAGTTTCAAGATACTTTATCATACCCCTCCTATTAGTAATGAGAACATTATTCTATCCATCTTCAGTGTCATCAACTCCAAGAGCCTGAAATGGATATTTAAATTCTGTCTCAAAAACTTCTTGGTAGTAGATTTTCCTTTTCAAAAAATCTAGGATATAATCAAAAATCACACATAGTATTTATTTAGTTGTCATTGCCTTCATTTCCATTAATAGATTGTTGCTTTCTCTCTCTCCTCTCTCTCTCTCTCTCTCTCTCTCTCTCTCTCTCTCTCTCTCTCTCTCTCTCTCTCTCTCTCTCTGTGTGTGTGTGTGTGTGTGTGTGTATGTGTCTTTTATAATTGGCATTACTGAAGAACCTAAGCTGGTGTGTCGTAGGATATGCCCACATTCCGGAGGGCTATATTCTGCTAATTTCCTATTTGTGAGATTTAGGGTAACATGTTGAGAGTGAGAATGTTCGCAGTGATGATATATCCTCCTTGCATCATGTTAGTAAATGTGAATGTCTAATTGAAGGTTAATCAGTGGCCTTAGGGGTTATCTGCCCGAGCCAATTAGGTTCCACAATTCATTGCTAAACTCTAAGATTCAATACACACACAATAATATTTATAGACTACAAAGTTCCAAATATATACTTCATTTCTTAATGTTTTTGGAGGTCTACCATGCCTGATACTAAACCCTTTGCTGTGGAAGGTAAGATTGTGCAAGGAATCAGACCTTTCCACTTAAGATGAAAAGGAGCAGGAATGTTTCATTTGCAAACAATACATAAGAACGCTGACTCATGGATGTGTGTATGATCCTACAGCCAGACGCAAAGTGCGCATGCTCCATAGTGGGCATGCACACACATTTCTTTAGTGACTTCCCATTCAGACTCATAGTTTACTCGTTGAGCTCAGCTCAAATATATTATGAGACAGTGTCTCTTTACATAGTCTTGGGTATCCTGGAACTTACTCTGTAGACCTTGAACTCACAGAGATCCTCCTGCCTCTGCTTCCTGGGGGCTTAGATTAAACTTTCACAGTAGACTTAGATTTTAGATAAATAACATAGCCACAAGTCTGGGCACATTCTGAGATCACAAGCCATACATTTTTTATCCTAATAGATGCTAATATCAACCATCTTAATAAGATATTTATGATCTGCCCTCTGGGGTAAAATTTGAACTTGGTTGTACTGAAGAAACAGAACATTAGTCCTTCCAGTCCTGTCCCCACGGCCACGCACAAGCACCTCATACAGCCTGCCTTGCCTCTGGCTTCAGCCATTGGTGGCAGCAGGATGGACGCTCCTCAAATAATCTTGGAAAGGACAGATTAAATTCTGATCTAGGTTCTTCTGCTTGTTAGACTGTTGATCTCCTCTTCCTTGAATGTTTTGTTTCTTTCCTCAGCTAGGATGAATACCTCCTTTTGCGGGTATTCAGGCATAGAAGTTCTACAGAAACCTCTCGATGACCCACTGAAACTTCACAGCCGTGGAAACTTTCCATCCAGCCAGATAGTCCCTTTGAGCTCCAGCCCTTGTCTCATGCCCAGTATTTAGGAAGGGGCCAGAGACTATGCAGTGACATCAAGTGCTTAGTGAGAGCTTCATTTGCATATTCATCAGGTATCCGAAATCCAAGCATCGTCCCAGTTGTTGCATCCTCTCAGAAGTTTTGCCATTCTACCACTAAGTGTTTCTGTGGTTGGGCTAGAAACTCCTCCAAAGCTTTCCCTATGTCTGGGTTATAGACACCGTACACTGTGAATCTGATAAACTATCTGTGCCTTCTCCAGACCCTGCTGGGTTTTTGCTAGTCCTGGATATAAAAGAAATCTTTGGATTTTCTTACCTGTTTCAGTTGGCCATACAAAACTCTAATTAGGTTATATCGGACCATTCCAAGTTCCTTTTCCTCCTACTTTTAACATCCTTCATTGAACACACTAGATTTGGTTAAGATTTTCCTTAACTGGAAAACATTAAGGAATCTGACTTATGTCAGTCCACTATTTACCCAGTCCATTGCCACTGGTGAAAGCACACCATTTCCAATAATCCCTTAGCCTAAATGACAAACACACTAAGGAAAAGAAACACAGCATGCCTTCAAGAAATGGCAAAGGTCTTCCTTGGATGATACTGTCATTCTGGCTCTGAAGAAACTAGTGATTCCTGTCTAGAATTAGCCAAATAAAGTTTATTTTGGAAGTAATGATTTTTTTTCCTGGTTTTAAAAATCTTTAGCAAGAAAAACGTTTATAACAAGCTATTTTCCTTTGGGTGGGTATTAAATGTGGGTAAAAAAAAATGATATGTAAAGATTTGTGTAACAGAGAATGAGTCATTTCTAATGAAGCGAGCTGTTTACTAGCTTCTAGTGTTCTGCTTTTAAAGTTTTCCTGTCACTTTTTTAAGTACATCTGAAAAATGTTAACTATATTTTTGTTCCATTTGTGATTCAGCTAAGGATTTTATTGTAAGAAAGCAGACTAACATAATTAAATCAATTAGAAGAGCTAGATAAATCTAAAGAATATTTATCAAATTTCTGTGTGAGCCTACGGATTCAAATGTCATGAATAAAAGCTACATAGTTGCCTTCTGGTCCGTCTTCTTTACATGCCATATTTATTTAACAAATAGTTCGCCAACCTGCAGTGTTCTGGGAAAGGGTCAATAAAAGGAAAATCGTTAATTCAAATTTGTTTGAAGGCACATGTGGACACGTTTGAATTTTAACTAAGACCCCCTTATCCTATCAGTTTTCCAATAAGACATTCAGTATATAGTTTAGCTTCCCAGAAGCTTATTGTCCTTCTATGTGTTTTCTTCCCATAGAATTTGGTGTTAGTTTGATGGTGATCTAATATGTAAAGATGTCAGATGAGTCTTTGCATGGCCTCCAGGACCTGACTGGGTTCTGAGGCAATTAAGAAAGGGAAGGTAAACCCGCAGATGCAAAGGCTGGAACTGGGTGGACTGGGCTTTCTGGAGACGCCACAGCCCACAGTTCCAGAGAGTTAGAGTCTTCGATAGTGGAGTGAAAGCATAGCAAACGGTGACCTGAGCAGGAGCTGGGAGCTCACACTTTTTTTTTAAATTGTAGTTATAACATTTCTCCCTTCTTTTCCTCCCTCCAAACCCTCACATATGTATATTCCTTCTCATTGTCCTTCAAATTCATGACCTCTTTTTTGACCAGTTGCTATGGCATGCATATGTATGTATGTATGTGTATGAATACCCATATATATTCCTAAATATAGCCTACTCAGTCCATGTAACGTTACTTGTGTGTATATTTCAGGGCTAACTATTTGACAGCCAGTTGGTGTGCTCTTCCCTGGGGACGACCGCCTCTCCCATTCCAGCTTTCCTCAGCTGCCTGTAGTTTTTGTGTTGGGTTGAGTGAGGCCTTGTGGGCTTGCCCTTGTCCCTTTGGCATGTCCGTTAGTGTCATCCTCACTTAGCTCATGTCTGGGCAGCCATGGGGAGATACTCAATGGGTATATTTTCTAGTGTTATGAGGAGGCACAGTCTCTGATCCTCCTGCTCTGACCATCTTTGTGCCCAGTCTTCCACAGACTTCCATGAGCTTCAGATGTTGGGTTGTTTTGTAGATGCATCCATTGGTACTGGGCCCCATAACTGTATACTGATTGGTTGTAGTTTTCTGTAGTGGTCTCCATCTGTCACAAAGAAAAGCTTGGTCAGGTGGTGGTCTTTAATCCCAGCACTCAGGAGGCATAGGCAGGCAGATCTCTGTGAGTTTGAGACCAGCCTGGTCTACAGAGTTCACCAGAAGTACAGACAAGCAGGAGGCATTGCTCCTCCCTTGGTTGACACCTAGCATTTGCTTGCCTCGGGACTCTGAGATTTAGAAAGTTCTATGTTGACTGACCCAGCACAGGGAAAGGAGGATCGCTACCTCAAGCTCCAAATTGTTCAATGAATGGGACTTTGTGTCCTAGACCAATAAGATGAGGAGTTCAGGGAGACTGCAACTTCGGGCCTACAGAAGAAGACAGAAACTTTTGATGATAGGATTTTAAATGCCACTGCCTGGCTCCAAATCAGTACACCAGAGGCTGGTTTTTGTTTGTTTGTTTGTTTTCATTTTGTTTTTTACTTTTTTCTCTCTACTAAGTCCTGTTCTCCAGAGTTATATAACACAAACTGCTTCACCTCCACTCATCTTTTGAATTTGTTACCCTATTTCCAACAGAGGAAAGAATAAAGGGAGGGAGGGAAGATAAACAAAGACAGTGAAGGGACTATTTTGCATCCTTTCTCTGTAGTCTTGAGAAATTCCCTGGAAATAAATGATTCCCACACTACATCTGCAATAGCAAGAGCCAATACAAATTTTTAAAACTTGAGAAGAACAGAGTCCAAAATCAGCTAGGTGAGCTTCATCTCCCTGCTGACCTCCTATTCCTCAGTGTTACCCCCAACTTTGTAGTAGACCATCTGTTGCAACATCTCTGCCCTCATCCCCAGAACACAAGCAAATATTCTCCTCCAGTATACCACCCACACCCCATCCCTTTGTCTCAGCTGCCAATACCAGGAGGCACTGCCTAGAAATCTGCTGGACATGTGCACCATGGAATCAGACAGGCATCTTCATTCTCCAGGCATCTTCATTCTCCTTCCTGTTTTCCAATTCCAGTCCCGCAGTAGCACACTACCTGCTGTAGCCTCTCCTTTTCTGCCCCCATTCATAGGAGACTACCCATATCATCTTGGCATACCCAGCTTTCCTCCTTCCTGTGGACCCTCTCAGCATTGCCCCAACAGACCATCCTCATTCCTTCCTATCAGTTTCCAATACCTAGAAACACTTGCTACCCAGAACCCCCAGTAGCCACACCTGGCAGGGGCTCAGAACCACTACCTACCAGGCAAACCATGGCCAGTGTGTTCTACTAGATCCAGAGAGGCAACAAAAACCAAGAAACAGAAAGCCCACTTAATAAAGACAAGATCAGGTATCAACACCTACAACTTCAATCATCCCAAACCCAGGTGCCCACACACCAAGTTAGAATGCAATCGATAGCAGCCAACATGATATTATTTCACTAGGTCCCAGCAACCTTACTGTAGTAGGTCCTGAGAAATGCAATATAGCTGAAGCACAAGACAAGTATTTAAATAGCTATTATGAATATGCTCAAGGACCGTAAAGAGCACATGAATGAATCTACTAATGAAAACACAAGGTGGAATAAAATGAGGAAAACAAACAAAAATACAAAGAATCATTGAAACAACTAAATTCTTTGAGAAAATCGGTAAGATTGATAAACCCTTCTCCAAATTAACTAAAACTCAGAGGGCAAAGATCCAAATTAACAAAATTATGGACAAAGAAAACACAGAGAATAATAAAGACATGCTTTAAAAAACAGCACTCCACAGTCTTAGGGTTTCTATTGCTGTGAAGAGACACCATTACTACAGCAACTCTTATAAAGGAAAACATTTAATCAGTATTAACCTACAGTTACAGAAGTTTACTCCATTATTGTCATGATAGGGCATGGCATCATGCAGGCAGACATGGTGCTAGAGAAGGAGCTAAGAGTTCTACAAATTTATCCACAGGCAGCAGAAACAACTGTGTGTCACATTTGGCATTGCTTGAACATATAAGACCTCAAAACCTGCCCCCTCCACAGTGACTCACTTCCTCCAACAAGGCTGCACCTCCTAATATTGGCACTCTCTATAGGGAGCAGTTTCAAACTACCACATTCACCAAACTGGAAAGTCTAAAAGAAATGGATAATTTTCTTGCTATAGACCATCTACCAATGTTAAGTCAAGATCAGACACCCCTATAGGTCTGAAATAAAAGCAATAATTAAAGGTTTCCCAACCAAAAACAGCCCAAGGTAATATGGTTTTAGTTCAGAAGTCGATAAGGGTTTCAAAGAAGAATTAATGACAATACTAGTCAAATTATCCCACTAAATAGAAACAAAAGGAACACTGTACAATTCTTTGTAAAAGGCCACAGTTACCCTGATACCTAAACCATATAAAAATCCAACAAAGAGATCTATAGATCAATATTTCCTATTAACATAGATACAAAAGTTCTCAATAAAATGCTTGCAAACAAACAAAAACATCAAAATAAAATCACCCACCATGATCAAGTAGGCTTCATTCCAAAGATTCAGAGATGGTTCAACATATTTAAATTGATGAATGTAGTTATTATCAATTATAGAGGCTGAAAGACACAACATATGATCATTTCATTAGATGTAGAAAAAGCCTTTGAGAAACCCAACACCCTTTCTTGATGAAAGTCCTAGAGTGACTAGAGATAAAAGGGACATACCTCAATGTAATAAAGGCAATATACTGTAAGCCTACAGTCAGCATCAACATAAATGGAGAGAAACTCTAATGTTTCCACTAAAATTAAGAACAAGACAAGTTGTCCACTCTCTCCATACCTATTCAAAACAGTACTTGAAGTCTTAGCTAGAGCAATAAACAACTAAAAGAGATCAAGTGGATACAAATAGGAAGAAAAAAAAAGTCAAAATTACCATAAATTGCACGTGGTAAGATTGTACCCATAAGTTTCCACCAGGAAACTCCCACTAATAACAACTTTCAGCAAAACAGAAAGTACAAGTTTAATACACAAAAATCAGTAGTCTTCCTACATACCTGCTTGACAAATGGACTGAGAAAGAAATCAGGAAAACAATCTTTCACAACAGCCTCAAAAAATGGAAATTCTAGGGGCAATTGTAAGCAATGAGATAAAAGACTTGTATGATAAAAATTTTTTAAATAGTGAATTAAGAATTTGAAGAAGGTATCAGAAGACGGGAAGATCTTCCATGCTCATGGATCAAATGTTTTTTGTTTTAAAAAGCAATCTACAGGTTCAATGCAATACCCTATCAAAATTCCAAAACAATTCTTCACAGAACATGAAAGGAAAATTTTCAGTTTCGTATGGAAACACTAAAAACCCAGATAGCTAAAATAATCAAATTAGACAAACAAAAACCTTGCTGGAGATATCACCATCTTCAATTTCAAATTGTACTACAGAGTTATAGTATTAATTACAGCATGGTATTGACTTAAAAACAACCACATTGACAACAGAATCAAATTTAAAACCTAGATATAAGTCCATACACCTGCAGAACCCAGATTTTTGATAAAGAAGTTAGAAATGCACAGTGTGTATGTGTCTTCAGCAAATGGTGCTTGTCTTACTGGATATTTGCATGGAGAAAATGCAAATGAGCCACATTTATCATCTTGCACTTAACTATGAATGGATCAAAAAACCTCAACGTAAGATACACTAAATCTATTAGAAGAGAAAGTGAGAAATATCTTTCAATTCACTGGCACAGCAAAAGACTTTTTGGATAAAACAGTGATAATATAGGCTTTAAGAACAATAATTAATAAACATGAACTCGCCGGGCGTTGGTGGCGCACGCCTTTAATCCCAGCACTCGGGAGGCAGAGGCAGGCCGATCTCTGTGAGTTCGAGGCCAGGCTGGACCGACAGCCTCCAAAACAGAGAAACCCTGTCTCGTAAAACCCAAAAAAAA